CTGTTACTGATGTGCGTCTCACCGTTTAATGGCGAGAAATGAGGGAAAAAAGAGACATCGATTTATGCTCACCCTTCTCGTCGACATTGGTGGTGTCCTGGTAGTCCAACATATCATACAAGTACGAGATTTTGCGGTCGGCATCAGCAATGATGGGGAACTGCAGGTTCGATCCGGTAACTTCGTCGATATCCTTGATCCAGTCATAGTGGGATTTAAGGCCGTTGGCGCTCTAAACAAAGCAAAAAGTGGACTTCAGGTTAGCCAGTGCCCTGCTCCCCCCCTCTTTTATTTTTTTATTTTTTTTATTTTTATTTTTATTTTTTTATATATCTTTCAACACAGCTAGGGAAAGCCACGTACCAGTCCAATGAGTTTGACACCGCGAGCAGTGAACTCAGGCTCGAGCTTGGCGAAAGCTCCTAGCTCAGTGGTGCAGGTGGGAGTGAAATCATCCTATTAATTCCAATCAATCAGCAAACTTCTTGTTTCTCTTTCGACGAGGTCCCCCGGTTCCTCCGTTCTCCTTCCATCGGACACGTACAGGGTGAGAGAAGAGGATGACGTATTTATCGCCAATGAATTCATGGAAGTCGATTTCACCCTTTGTGGTGACGGCCTTGAAGTTGGGTGCGGTTGATCCGAGTCGGAGACTGAGAAGATAAAAGCGGAGCCGTTAGACCTGACATGACAGAAACGGACACGAAGCAAGAACCAGCCAAAGGCGGCGGGGGCACGGATGGGTAAACTTACGGGGCAGCACGTTGTTCTTCAGCCATTGTGGATGTGAGTGAGGCGAGGTTCTAAGGTGGTCGAAGGAGTGATTGTTGAGAGGTTTTGTTCTTTGTTGGTAGTAGAGCAGGGGATGTGGTTCTACAATGAGAGTGAGAATTGAGGGATGATATATAAAGAAGAAGAAGGAAGAATGAACGATACAAACGTGGTCTACCGGATGATATAACCAGCTTTTTCCCCCCTGCCCACTGGCCCCCAGGTACCAGAATCCAGAATACCGAACACACACACAAATACCACACACACACACACACACACATTTCATCCCCCACTTCATGCCAACGGGTTTCGAATCACGCAATCCGCCACCGCCTTTGCCGGCAGAACGCTCTGATTGGCTTGTGTTCTCTGGCCTTTTCGCGACACAGCCAAGCTCTGATTACGTCATCTAGTTACATCAACCAATCACGCGTCTCTTTTTGGCCGATGATGGCCTTTGTACGTGGCCGGATAAGGACTAGTGCAACTCCACATACATCCGGCTTGGCTGCATATTTGAATGGTACAATCAGACCATGATATCGCATCACTTGTTTTGAATCATGCCTCCCCCCTCCGCCTCCCGCGACAGAACTGCGACGAGCTGCTGAGAAATCAAACGAGGGACAGGGATTGTTATTCTCATTAGTAACAGGATGCAAGATCGAACCTTGGGAATAGATACGATTGGGCTATACTAAGCTTAAACAAAGCTAGAGACTGGTTGGAGCGGGGTCATCGCCGGGAGGGGGATATTCGATCTCGGTTGCTCTGCGTTGATTATTATTATATTATATGAATTACTTTGTTTGCCGTGCATTATACTCAGCTATATACTCATTATTTACGGCGCGACATGGAATGAACTTTTTTTTTTTTTTCATTTGCCCGGGGAGGAGAAAAAGAGACACCGGTCCCGTATGATAACGGGTTTATCCGGCTCTTTCGTCTTCAGTCATGATTTCCTGCAACAGAAGAAATAAAACAAAAAGTTCAACTAGTTAGTGATGATGACGATGATGTGAAGATGGGGACCAGACCGAGCATTTAAGCTCTCAAATCATCGCCGGATTTATAAAAGGGGACGAGGTAGGGTTTGGGAAACAACAACACTTCTCAGCAGTCAAACTTACGCTTGCGATTTTACTTCGCGCCCTAATTTTCGGGCCGAAGAACACGAGCACCCAAGGCACAGCCGTGAGTAATGAGCCCTATGTCAGCGGTTTTGTCAGTATTTGTGTGACTACGGGTATAAACATCCGGGGAGGGATGTGTGCTGGCGAAGAAAAACCATCGAGGGCGGGAACGACTTACAATTCCTCCAAGCAAGCTTGATGCCCCCGAATATCCGAGATTGACGTACATAGCTCGCACCACGAGCGGGAATATCCCACCGAGAAGGTTTCGACCTGTCCGGAGAAACATTCACTTAGCAAAAAGGGCACGAGAAGCAAAAGCGAATATACATAATACAATCCATTGTGTATCCAATAGGGAAACAACCCAGAGGAGGAAAGAAATTGAACTTGGGGGCGCGATCCATGATCCTTACAACACGATTGAGCAGCCAGGGCTGAACTGGCATACCGATGGTATGTATCCGCCAGGTAATTAAAAACGGCCAAGTAGATTGAGAAGATCCCAATGGTCGCACAGCCGATGGCAAAGCAGGGAACGACCCAGTGTATCGAGGAGAAGGACGTCCATCCAAACCAGAATATCCCAGCCGGCATCAGGATAGATTCGATGCATACAAAGTATAAGCGGCCCTCAGGCGTGCTGGAGATTTTACCCAGGCGCCGCACATATTTCTCTTGCCAGATGCTGAGGAGTGTGGCCAGTATGCCGCCGATGCAGATTGCTGGTGAGTTTTAATTGTTAGAAGATTGGGCTAACTGGCTTCGGGGCTAAATGAGGCTGTGGTTTGAAGAAATACGGAACGTACATGCAAAAACAGCCCCAGATTGTTGCAGGTTGAAGCCATGATTGTTTTGGAAAACAAGGGGGATTGCACCGAACTGAAGATACAATACCGCCCAGCTAAAGGAGACCCAGAGCGAGAAGAAAAATATCACGGGTTCAGTGAAAAGGAGGTCTGTAAAACGCCATTTCACCAGTTTTAGCTAAGCCTCAAAGCGCACACCCAAATCTAGGGGTGAGTGGGGATAGAGTCGGGAGATGATATACAGAGAGCAACAACAATTCTCGCACTTACGAAATGGTCGATACAGCGATATCGTAACCATCTTAACGATACTCTCTCTCTCCTCATCAGACTTAACCTTCCACCTAATTCGCTGGCTCTGCCGGTTCCCTCCCTCGACTGGCATATCAACACCAACATATCCCGCGTCCTCAAGCTTTTCATACCACTTATTCAACACCTGCGCTTTCCGACTCAATAGCACGTTGCCACGAGTTTCGTTAAAGAACATCATAACTGCCACCGTAACCACGGCAGACAGGATTGCTTGCATGTAATATACCCAGCGCCAGGAGATGTGGTGGACCATAAAACTGGAAATCATGGGGCCCAAGCCTGTGCCGACGAGAACGGCTCCGGAGAATAATGCCATAGGCTTATTCCTTTCTTCAGTCACGTAGATGTCGCTGAGGACGCCGCCGATTATGGAGGAGTAGGTTGCTGGGAACGAGTTTGTTAGTTCTGCATGCTAAATGAATGAATGTATGTATGTATGTACACATATATGTATATATAAAAAAATATACATGCATGATTTGTTAGAAGGAAAATTGATATAAACCTACAGCCTCCAACACCAAGGAAGAATCGAGCAAGTAACATGCCCGCAAAAGAATCCGTGACCGCACAACCTAGTTGAGTTACTGGGTACCGCGTATATAGAGAGTCAGCTACTTGTATGTACGTGCTGTGAACCTATTTCTGAGCCATAGCAAGCTATCCATCTAGCCTAACTCACCGGAAAGGAGTATCCCACTCCCCACAAGCATCGGCCGCCGCCCATTGATTTCCGAAAAGGGAGCAAGCATCATTGGCGAAATAGCAAATCCAAAACAGAACAGCGTGATCCCAAGATTGTACACCACGCCGCTTATCCCCCACTTCTCCGTGAGTATCTTTTCAGGCGGGCTATACATCCCCGCCGCCATCGCACTCAGAGACGTAACAAGGCATGACAGCGCCGTTACTACCCCCTAGCGTGAATTCCGCCATGTAAATGGGGAAATAAATGGTCGTAGATCAGGTTGTTCGGGGGCTGCTTGCTGACCTGGGCTAGTGGGGGATGAGATGCCCGTAGGTGGTGGTAGGGAAGTGCCGAAGGTAAGGTAGTGATATTGAAGTACTTCTTCTGCTTCTTCTTTATTGTGCCGCCCTGCTGGTGATGATGATTGTGTCGAAGTGAGGCCGGGAGCGTTTTTCTCGAGGTTTCCATTTGCCGTGGCCTGTGGAGGGTTCAGGCCCTTCTCCGCACCAGAATCTGGCAGGGCCGCTGGGGCAATACTCCTGTTAATTTGCGGGGATGGGATGCTGGCTATCCTATCCGGCATTTCGGAGTAGTGTTTTTGAAGCACTTCCAATAGCAAGAATGGATGGCATGAGCAAGAGTAAAGGCACAGCTAGAAGGACATGTGCTGTACGTAGGAGAGTGAGACGGTATTTTGCTTATTTTGTTCTTATTAGTATTGTAATGATTTTTTCCCCTCCAACCATCCTTCTTGACCCTTGAGGAGTAAGTCCAGCGCACTACTCACCTCCACTTTCGTTCCCAATAGGAAGGCAAGCATTAATTGGCGAATCGAACAAGCTTTGGTGGGAAGCTTTGCCGCCATCGTTTGCCGGCCGAAACAACAGGTTTGCGCTGGTCCAGCCAGCCCCCATCCGGCGCACATGCTTGGATCCATGGATTTCAGTCGGTCCTCCATTGTATGTAAGTTAGCATGTAGAGGAGGGATCTTTGCAACTGTTAGCCCTTGCTCTTCAAACATTGAATACAACTAATAATCAGACTCCGGATTAATAAATCCTCAGTAATATCGATCGGTGTACTCTGTAGAAAGAAGATTGATAGCAAAGCCCTCACCCACCCCGGCCCCATGTTATGTATCATGATGTATGCGGCCCCAACGGTTGCACTATCGGAAGGTAGGTATAGTAAGGGATAGCTTGAACGGCAAACAATGTCTCAGCAACAATCGTATATAGGGAGAATTATGGAATAACGGTGTGTGAACGAGATGGACAATCGGATAATGATCCAGAGAAAGAGAAGAAAAATAGAAAAAAGAAGCAAAACATAGCAAATGTGGCATTGATTTAGTGCATATTTAACTAGTTAACTACTCCATACAACAAGCTTGGGCGCGCTTTCACGTGGTATCGCCACGGCGGTTCAATTTTCAGTCTCATTCGTTCTTCCCTAACTCTCGCGCAAAAGGGTCAAAAGCATATATATACATGTCACGGATTCATCGCATGAAAATTATAGATCGATATATGCATATTTCCGTTGTACAGTATTCTCGATATCTCAGCAATTGCCGCTCAATTCTCATACCTCATAGGGTGGGAATCAAACCAACACATCCACCCCATTCCCTCCTGAGAAGACCAATGCCTCCAAAACGGCGCCAATCGACGACTGTTGTCGCGACCGCTACGCCCAACGAACTTAGTCAAAATGATGCCAAAAAGCCACGATTGAGTAGCCGGAACCCTGTTTCACCTGTAGCACAAACGGCTGCCTCTTCGCGACCTAAACGCGCTAGTCGCGCGCACGCTGGAAAGGAATACTCAGCATCAGAGCCGTCCGAAGGTATTAGGAAACGGGCCAGCGGTGCCAATGCCGGGAAAACGAAACAGGAAGAAGGTTAGATCATTTCGTTTTTATCTTCTCTTAGAGTCTCCATTTTCATTTCGAGGTCCTATCCTTCCGTTACCCGTTTCGGGGGTTGCCGATTTCTTGCCCAGGTGGCTCTCCCTCAAAAGGCAGTCAAAACCTTCTTCTTATTTATGCTCTAGTCAAAAAGATTTGCTTCGTGGTGTCTCCTGACGCTTCTTATATTCCTATTTATCCATTGGGAATGAAAATATTATCATATAAACTAACGACCTAAACCCCCATCCGGAATAACAGCAGACTCCGTAACTTCATCTGCTCCAGGTACCAAACAAAAAGCTAATAAATGTGTGCAATCAGCTACAACAAAGGCAAAACAACATGGATCTGGAGCTGTTGTATCATTGAACGGCATAGAGACCGAACCAAAAAACAAAAACACAGTAGATGAGACCCAGGATGAAGCAGACGACACGAAATCCTACTGGCTGATGAAAGCAGAACCGGAATCAAGGATAGAGAAGGGCATCGATGTCAGGTTCTCTATCGATGATTTGCGAGGGGCGAGTGAGCCAGAGCCTTGGGACGGTAAGATCCTCATTATTATATCCCGCGTCCCCCCAAAAACCAACATTTCCTGGGTATGTCGGTGATTGTTGGGTTATATGCTGATGAAATGTTTTATAAAAGGCGTACGAAACCCAACTGGTATGCATGCCTTGACATTTTATATCTAGCATCATCATATTATTCACAATTGAGAAGACTAAAAAAGGAACAACCCAATAGCGCGAAATAACATGCGCGCCATGAAGAAAGGAGATTTGGCATTCTTTTATCATTCAAACTGCAAGGTTCCTGGAATAGCTGGAATCATGGAAATTGTCCGGGAACATTCTGTCGACGGTACGTATACGCAGCATAGAAGCTGCACATTATACCTGAAAATGCCGCGACTAATTCATTTTTTCTTCCCGCTTACGACTTGTAAAAGAATCGGCATTCGACCCCGCACACCCATATTACGATCCAAAGTCGAACCGCGAGAATCCTAAATGGGAACTTGTTCACGTGGAGTTCAGGCGAAAATTCAGGGATCTTATCACACTGGCTGAGCTGAAGTCGTTTGCGAAACCAGGCGGACCGTTAGAGAATATGCAGATGATGAAGCAATCGCGGTTAAGCGTGTCTGCCGTGAATGGTAAGGAGTGGAAATTCATCATGGGTTTGGCTGGAGAGGAGTGAGGGGGAAATTTCAATCGACTTTCTGTTTGACTCGGGAGGCTGGCTCCTAACGTTTCGGAATTTGTCATATGTACTTGGCATAAACTGCGGTATAATACTTTCTAAGTTTGTCTTGGTGAATCCGTTCCATTTGTTACGGAAACTCATTATCCAACTATCGTAAGATCAGCCCATATATTTATCACCCCGATTGCCCAGCAAAGGCCTTATTTGCAATTTTAAGACCTCAATCTGTTAAACGTTTTGGCCCCTAGCCTCCTGGCTCAGGTTTGTATATTTCAGGATATGTACGAGGAGAACCACCAGCCTTCTGGCACCGTAGGCTGATGCCTGTAGCTGCGGAATCACGAATTCTCTTTATACAGCACGGGCCACATATTGGATATCTTTCAAGTTGTTGGGCGCAAAGCCCAGAGTCTAATCGGCAACAACTGCAGCCGTTGAGGCATCCCACTTTGTTCCTCTGACCTCAGCACTTTAAGCCCAGCCTCCGCAAACAACTTTTTAAATTTACTTTCAGTTCTAGTAACCGTGCTATCCACAGCATCATAGTAGTCATTTGCAGTGTCCGAGTTGAGATTTTCCTTGAGAACCAGCAACCCCTTTTCAGAGAGCGCACCTTTGCACCGGACGAGATATTCCACCAACTGCGCATCCGTAAGATGATTCGCGCACCACTGGGTCCAGATTAAGTCATAGCGCTTGGTAGGCGTCCAATCCTGAATGCCAGTGATATAAATGTCGCCAATTTTCCCTTCCTGGTAAAGCTTCCCGCGTTTAATGACGTCAACGAACTTCTCAACCGGCTCCACGATGTCCACGGTTCCGCACACTCTGCTTAGGAAGCCCTCAGTGACCCTACCGATGCCAGCCCCGCAATCGACGCCCAGCGCAAGCTCCCCCGAGCCGCTGGATGGAATTAATCGACGAACTTTTGCTAGAAAGGTAGATGACCCGCGAAGGTCAATGGAGGAGATTTGCGGGTAGCCGCCAAGCATTCCATTGGCGGTGGCTGGAACTGAATTCCAGTAATCGATGGAGACGGCCTGATCGATATGGGAGTCAGGTTGGACATCCAGGTCGGGATCTGTTTCCATTTCCACCATGGCTAAACAGGTAAGAGAGAAAGGGTTAGGAGGAATTGGAGCGGCAGTAGCCGGGGTGAGGGACGGCGAAAGATAGACGAGCCCAAGTGCAAGCTTGATACGGTCGTAGGATATAAGGAAATATGTCGAGAAAAAGGTGTTGAGCGAGATGCGAAATTTCGGCTGGATTTTTTTCTTGTTCTGGATCAAGCTACCAACGCGCGTGCCGAGATCTCCAAACGGTGCAAACATCGAGGACTCAATTACAAATCGGCCCGGGAATGAAGCTAGTTCGACGGCACTGGGCGAGGTTTTTGCCGTATTTTGTCGGGGCGAAATATGGGATTTTGACCCCTCAGTGTAGTAGTATACCGCAGACGACATCAACCCCCTCTTCTTTCTACACGGTATATTTAAGCCCATGTTTTTCCGCACCCGGCAATTCCGAAGTCTTCCTCTGCGAAAGCTACGCTACCCGTGGTCAAATACAGCTTTTATTGCCCGATATTTCTCCAGCACTCCTTTCACAATGTCCGGTCTCTCTATAGAGCTCACTGCGCCAAACGGCCGTAAATACACACAGCCGCTAGGATTGTTTATTAACAATGAATTCGTGGCCGCCAAGACCGGACAGAAAATCACGTCAATCAATCCAACGTTGGTTAACCCCTCATTCTATCTAGCCCGATGGGAACTTCAGATGGAATATAATTGCTGATGCGGGAGGGGGTTTAGTGATGAGTCTGAGATTGCTTCCGTACAGGCTGCAGGCGCGGAAGATGTGGATATTGCTGTAAAGGCTGCACGCAAAGCACTCAAAGATCCCTCGTGGAAAGGCCTTTCGGCAACAGACAGAGGAAAGTTAATGGTCAAGCTTTCCGAACTTGTTGACCAGCACAAGGAAACCTTGGCTACAATTGAGGCTTGGGACAATGGTAAGGGATCTGCTCTAGGATATCCTTTGATTTGAAATGGCTCTGATCATTTTGTATATTATTATTACTCTTTTTCTTCCTTTGATTCTCCTATTTCAGACAGAGACTATGAAGGAGACCCCCCTCAGCACCTTAGTCCGAGGACAGGATTTATTTCCCACTGATCATTTTGTACTCATGCTATGTATCTAGGCAAGCCATATACCGTTGCTCGTGATGAAGACTGTGCGGAGGTTTCGGAGACCCTGAGATACTATGGTGGATTCGCCGACAAAATACATGGCAGCACCATCAGCACCACGCCCGCCAAATTCGCCTACACTTTACGACAGCCAATAGGCGTAGTTGGACAGATCATTCCTTGGAACTATCCTCTTGCAATGGCAGCATGGAAACTAGGTCCTGCCTTGGCCTGCGGAAATACTATCGTCCTAAAGGCAGCAGAGCAGACGCCCCTTAGCATTCTCTATTTCGCGACCCTTATTAAAGACGCTGGCTTCCCTCCTGGCGTGGTGAACATTCTCAATGGTTTTGGCAAAGATGCTGGAGCGGCAATCGCAACTCATCCCGACATTGATAAAATCGCCTTCACTGGATCCACTGCCACTGGCCGACAAATCATGAAAATGGCTGCCGCAAATCTCAAGAACATCACCCTTGAAACCGGTGGGAAATCGCCCCTCCTCGTGTTCGAGGATGCTGATCTGGAACAAGCTGCTAAGTGGGCACATATCGGGATTATGTCCAACATGGGCCAGATATGCACGGCTACCTCACGAATCCTGGTCCAAGACTCCATCTATGACAAGTTCGTTGCGTTGTTCAAGGACGTCGTCGCGTCCACAAGCAAAGTCGGCAATCCGTTTTCCGATGACACTTTCCAAGGCCCCCAGGTCACGAAGGCTCAATACGACCGCGTGCTTTCGTATATCGAGACTGGTAAAGCCGAAGGTGCTACGCTAGCTGCTGGCGGTGCACCCCATAAGAATGTCGGGGATGGCAAGGGCTTCTTCATCGAGCCCACTATTTTCACAAACGTCACGGACAACATGACCATCTACCGCGAAGAGGTCTTCGGCCCATTTGTTGCTATCGCGAGTTTCAAGACTCAAGAAGAGGCTATCGCCAAAGCAAACGATACAACGTATGGTCTTGGCGCAGCAGTGTTTACTCGAGACATTCAGCGTGCCCATTATGTTGCGAGTGAGATTGAAGCTGGCATGGTTTGGATTAATAGCAGCAACGATAGCGATTTCCGTGTTGCATTTGGTGGAGTGAAGCAGAGTGGGATTGGTCGCGAGTTGGGTGAGGCTGGTTTGGAGGCATATTCGCAGACCAAAGCTGTTCACGTGAATATGGGCACGATACTCTGAGCAGAGAGTGGTCTGATAAAATGTAGTTAGAGGGAACCCAGGATCTCTATATTAGGGGCGGGATGTGGTTTGCTGAGGGGAAAAGGGGGTGCAGGTGGATGACATTTTCTGGACTGAGATGATATAATACAGATGGAGGATTATGAATGACCTGGCAAATTGATGTAATCCTTGATTTATGCTTCGACATAAATAGCAGGAAATATTACTATATATTCGACCTTTGACACCAGACCCTTACCCTTCACTGCTTCGCCCTCTTCATACTCCAGGTGCTATTGGTATATCAATCCGGCCTTGGGGGGATTATGTGTCTGTTTCTCATGGTACACAATCCACCGGGGCGCTCCTGCTGGATTGTCCTAGACTGGTCTCAGCTATGTAGGAGTTAGATGTGGCTGTTCGGTGAGACCCCAGGCGAGGCTGATACAGCGTAACAGAGTGTGTTATCTGATGTTCTTTCCGAAATTCTCCTTTTCTCCTTCGGATTTAATTCGATTGGTAGAATGGGAACCTGGAATGAGGAGTTTTGTCGTGTTGTTCGTTTTTATTCCTGTCGAAGACTCGTTCTAGCACCATGCTCTGCCATCGTGCAGGTGTTCTTTGCCCACGAAGTGTCACCACCTTCTTTTCGATATTAGTGGGTAGTCGCCTAGTACTACCTCCAATAAGCACATACTAGCTAAACCATTAATCTGTATGTCGTCGGGTTTTACGGACCGTGGTTATCATGCTTGAAGAATGGCACAAAGCAAACTCCATAGTGTGTCACGCCGGTGTTGGTAGCATTTGGGATAGTGGGTGCTGGCACCGCTGTGATCAACATTTCAAACGCCATTCATAAATATTCTTCGTGCGTCATATAAACCCTTCGAAAAGAGACTACACTACTTTGCCAACGTATGGACAGTACCCAAAGCGGCTGTGGCTCAACAGGAACACCGTTTGAAACCCCGTTCTCCCCCTGAGGACTCAACAAAGACGTGTGGAAGGTGTAAAGCTTGTGTGATTGAAAGGTTGCTAGCTTGTGGAAAGTTATTGTTGGCCGTTACGGCCGTTGCGGTTAGCGATCCCACTAGATCACGTGACCCACCACTATATTATGTTCTTGTAGATAGATCTATCAATACAACCTTCAACTATTCTCCAGGTTATAGCCTGAAGAGAATGTTTTTCTTTTTAGAATGTTACATCAACATTTTTAACAAGAGTAGTTCATCTTTTTTTAAAAAGACTCTTACTTTTTATTAAAGATATTTCATTTTCTCTGAATTCACTAGTCAGTAAATTTATATACTTTTGACTTTTAAAAAGTGTATTCTCTATTATAAAGAATATTTTTTTTTACATATCTAGAAGAAGCAGAGTCATTTTAATATGAGTAATACATCTATTACTTCAGAGTTCAGCTCAAGACTTAGAATTATCTGCTCTACTAGATAACTCATTGATAGAATAATTACTTATTATAAGAAAGTTTCTGAGTTATAAGATAAGACTAATGTCAGTTTTCATCAGAGTATGCAATTTAATAATAAAATAATAGAGAAGTTTTAGAATAAGAGAAAGCAGAGTTAATATTCATCTATAGAATCTATTCATTTCAACTTATTAAATTCTTCATTATTTTTCATTCTTAGAATACTGACTTTTAATGATGATCTGAATTAATCTATCTATTATATCACAGATAATTTTATAAATCTTATATAGATAATACTCTGAAATTAAATAGCTATAGTTAATATTATATAATATCTTACTATATCTATCTCTATATAAAGAGATACTATAAGAGATGAGTTATAAGAATATTAGAAGAAAGTTAAATATACACTAGATATTAAATCAGTAATTATATTTAATAACTCTAATTATAAAGTCTGATATATTAATATATTAACTGATACAGAAGTTATTGATAAAACTGATATTCTATTAAAAACTTAATAAGAATTCTCTTTTATATATTATATTGATTCTGAGAAGTGAAAGATTCATTTCAAGTCTCTATATAGATGTATACTATCAAGTCTTATTAAAAATATTTAAATTACTATTAAAATCTTAAAAGCTGATAATACTGCAGCTCTATGAGATAAGATTAATATTAAATATATAATATCACTGACTGAAGAACATGTTAATATCTTTAAGAAATTGATAAAATTATAAGTTAAGAATGATAATTATCTTACTTTTCAGAGATGTTTCTGCTATTTTATTATTTATTACAGAGAGCTCTGTCAGAGTATTAAGAATATATATTATAATCTTTTTCTCAACAATCTATAAAATTATTAAAAATTATTTATTAAGATACATCTAAATAAGTTTTTCTACACTGATTAAGAACTCATTATTAATATTAATATCAATGATTTGATAAAGCAACTGATCAATTATATATTTAAGAAAATTATTAAGTGAAAAAAGCAGTCTCAGACTGATTCTGTGACTGTGAAAAAGAATAAGAATAAAGATGAGAATAAAAGTATATCTGTATAAAAGTGCACTCACTGTAAAAGATATGAATATACTGTTGACAGATATTTCATCTTATATTCTGATAAAAAGAAAAAGAAGATGAATAAGAAGAATAATGATAAAAAGAAAGAGAAGAAGAATAACTTAATAAGTTCTTAATCAGCAGTAAATGCAGTAATTACAAAGATTGAGTTCTATTTCTCTTTCACAGTTACTGAAAAATCATTCTCTAGATCTTGATATTTGAACACATGTGAAAGTCAGAATATAATGAGTGAGCTTTATTCTTTTTTAAATATTAAATCTTTTAATGATAACATCTCTGTCAATTCTGCAACTGAGAGAACTGAGTTTGTTATGAAGATTAAAACTGTTATCTTAAAGATTAAAAGTAATGATATTAACTTACAGAATATTTACTATATTTCTAATATTATAGTTAATCTGCTCTCATTTATAAAGCTTAAAGATCAGAGATTCTGATTTATATTATCTTTCACTATTCTCTCATTTTTCATTTACAGAGCTCTGAATGATATCATTTTTCATACAGTTCAGATCACTTATAATAATATATACAGAGTCACTGAATAAGAGTTTAATAAGAATTTCAATTATCTGAATAAGACAGTCAAGTATATCATGATGTCTCACAAGTATAATTTTGACTGAAAAGTTGATTTTTCTGTGACTGCTGCTACTACTGTTGATAATATTAATTCTACAGACATGAAAACACAGACATCAAAGATATCAAAGACTCTTTTAAATTGATATCATGATCTCAGTCACATTCATACTAATGCTATAATTACTATGACCAAGAATTCTCATAGTGAAGTCATAATTAAAGATTCTAAGAGGCCCGGTGGCGTAGTGGTTAACTACGCTACCATGAAGCCCCAATTAGCGGCCTTCCCCCCGGGGAATGAATGCCAAGAGGGGGCAGGTTTGAACCCTGCAAGGGCCATCTTAACCACAGCTTCCACTGTTAAGTCATAAAACAGTACCAGGGGCCCCCGGGTGCACTATAGTGAATCATTGTCAAGCTTAAGATGTCCATCCCAGGGGTTCCTGGGTGCTAATTCTCACTGATCTTAGGATTAACAGTCCCCCGGGCGCTTCAAGTTAGATCAGTACTAGAGTGATTGAGGTCTAGAATGCCCGCAGGATAGCAAATCATTATCAAGCTTAACTGATCAGGTCTCATCCCCCTCACTCTAGGCACTCACTTCTAGAGAATGAGATTTAAAAACTATCTGATTAGAACATCCTGAGCCTAGCAAGAACCTAGATGAGATGAGACCTAGATGCTCTTAATAGGTGATTAGTGCAAGCAAGACTGTGACAGCCAATTGATAGACTGAAATACTGAGATTGATAGTTAGAAGATTAGAGACTTAACTAGAATTGAGTAGCTCTGATATTATTCTTAGTGAGAATCTCACTTATAAATAAGCTAGTTACAGAAGCTAGCTGAGTGGCAGCTCTTTAGAGAGAATGATAACCTCTGAAGCAGGCCTGAGAGAACAGACATGATAGTCAGTTATATAGAGTGTTAAAATATGTATATAGCTTAAGATGTAAACTGCAGAGATCTTGTTCTATAGTCTCTTTACTGTACTTATTTTCTTCTGTTCTTTTCTCTATCTATTTAATATATCTATCTTTAAGACTATATTCTCTTTTCTTTTGTTATAATATTTTCAAATGATTTCAAACTATTAGAAGGTGTTAAAATACTGCAATTTATAAACAGTTTTTGTATTCTAGACTGAAATTTTCTGATTTTATATATTTGAAATTGATAAATGTATAATAGTTGACTCTATAGATATAGAAAAAACTCTGAGAACTAAAGATTCTCAGGTAGATATTATAGTCTCTAACTGCATACATCTATAATTGAAGAATAATAATAATAATAATAAAGATTCTAAGACTAAGTTCTTTTGTGAGAAATATGTTAAGACAGGTATAACATGAGATTATTTAAAAACATCAATGTCTAGATCTATTCAACTTATTAAAAAGATTTATATTAATCTCATAGATAGTAGATATACATTGAAAGATCTCTCTGATTATCTCTTAGAGTCTTATCAGAGAATTAAATACTGAATACTTATCATCTATGATAGACTGGTCACTGAAATTATGAATTTCACATTTAATCTCATTTGATCTGATCTCATACATTTCTTGGCATGAATTTCACTGGGACTAATTATTAAAAAAACATGCAAAGTGACTATATATCAGATCTCAAAATGAAATCATGACTTGAAAAAAATGAGAAAGTGATTTCATTTAATTTTATTTAGTCTCATTCTTAGCATAAAGTTACTATTTTTAGACATTTTAAGGTTTTTTTTCCACTATTTTTAATTTTTTAAAAAGTAACACTTTTTGATAACACTCAAATGAGATTTAAAGTCATTTAAAGCAATAAAAATAATTTAAATTGAGAAGTGAAAATCATGATCTTATTTGAAAAATGTGATAAGAGTAGACAGTAAGTTTCACTGAGACAGTATAAGACTACTATCTAATGTTAAAACTATGTAATAAGATTAGTTGAATTGATAATAAGACTATCAAAAATTCTGATTCTGGTCTTAGATACAGTTATACAGTCAGTCTAATCTATGATATGACTTGCTATCATTGAGTATATTTTTTAAAGTTCAAGAATGAGACTGTTCAATACTTTGAGTTATGGCTCAGATTCATGAATAATCTCAGATATACAGTTTCTACTTTTCTATGAACTGATATTAAGGATGTTTTTCAATTCACATGTATACACACAGTTATGAATTCATATGATATTGTGGCAGGCTGTGCTCAATCATTATATAGACTATTTCTTTACACTTCATAGATTCCGCTGAAAGCTCCGATTCTCGGTCATTCTCAATTACTGATTCTCAGCTGAAAAACTCACAGAATTCCTATTCTTTCACCCTGAAGCTTCACCGTGTATGCACTGTGTATGCGTATAAATATTCACTCTGATCACTGATTCTTGCACTTTCTCTTTCTTTTCCATCTTTAATGTTTTTCTCTTTGTTATATAAGATCTATATATTATACTGATCTATTCAGTGTAGGCTTCTTACACTAGAAAAATATTCATTGTCTTCTTATTAGAAATAATTACTCATGTATTATCTCCTCATTAGAAATGATTATTCATTGAGAGATATTTGAATGTGTAACAACATGTATGAAAGAGAAATAATCAGTTATAGCAGACACTGAGTTCTCAGATAAAAGCTTACTCATCAGTCACTCTGACTCTGTAATAAGATCTTACAAAGAGAATGTCAGTGAAAAACCTGAGAGTTCTGACACTCAGATGTATGAGATATTTATACAATCA